AGAAAGTTGCTTTCTGATTGGTTCAAAATTAAAGATGGCGAATTTTGGTAAGTGAGAATATCTCGCAAAGGTTCTTGGATGCATGTGGGCCTTTTTTTAGAAAGTTTGCGACTTTTGTTTTCTTGAAAATCACTGCATTAATAAACTTCATCATGTTACGATTGGAGTCGTTTCTGATCCGATAAGAAGAAGCTGCCCGGTTAGCTCAGTCGGTAGAGCATCAGACTTTTAATCTGAGGGTCGTGGGTTCAAGTCCCACATCGGGCGTTGCTTATACTTTTACAAAAATATTGCATATTTTGCAGGTTTCTATTTTTCACTTCAAAGTAACAAAAGCAACAAAGAGACACTGGGGAATGTTTCACTGTGTTATTGCTAATTCCTGTGTTAATAATGTTACGTTTTCCGTCTACTGTCTCAAGTCAATATGGACATTGTTGTCACTGCTAAAATTAACAATAATGGGGTAAAAGCCTAGGCCATGTTTTATTTTTCTATCTGATGTTTCCGTAGTGTAGCGGTTATCACGTGTGCTTTACACGCACAAGGTACTCGGTTCGAACCCGAGCGAAAACAGTTAGCAATAAGATTTTGAAAAGCGGTAAGAGAATTTGTTAGAGTTTTGATGTTTGTCCAGGTATTACGTCGACGTATTTATATCCGCTGGATGTATTTATCCATATATTAAAGACCTGCGCGCATCTGTCAATCTTTGCAACAGTTTGATGAAAGTTGCCTTCTGATTGGTTCAAGTTTAAATATGTCGAATTTTGGTTAGAAAATCGCGCAAAGGTTCTTGGATGCACGTGGACCTTTAATTGGAGAAAGTTTGCGGCTTTTGCTTCCTGAAAATCACTGCAATAATAATCAACTTCATCATGGTTAGGCGGGACTGCAAACAATTTTATCTGACTTCCCGAAGCTGCCCGGTTAGCTCAGTCGGTAGAGCATCAGACTTTTAATCTGAGGGTCGTGGGTTCAAGTCCCACATCGGGCGTTGCTTACTCTTTTGCAAAAGATATTGTATGTTTTGAGTCAAATCCCACGTTGTGAGCTGGCGATCAATTTTTCAAACAGTTTTGGAGTCATCCTAGTTTTTGCTAAACATTTTCTAATAGCATTTTCTGATAGCTGTTTTGATGAGCTGTTTTGTCATCCTCAGACCAAACTAGCTGTGGACAGTGTTTTGTGACAAAATTGTTCTTATTTCAGTTCCTCATTGAAGTGCTCATCATATATTGTGCTCCGTTAATAAGGTTAGACTTCCAGAAAATAGAAATATTTTATGTGATGTTTCCGTAGTGTAGCGGTTATCACGTGCGCTTCACACGCGCAAGGTCCTCGGTTCGAACCCGAGCGGAAACATTATTTTTATGAGTTTCAGAAACTATTTTATTGTAGATTCGTCAAATATCTAAAACTCAACTGCAAAAATGTATATGTTTTTGTGCAAGATGTCAAAAACAACAACAAAGCGAATATTATTCTATTCATTATCTATTATTCTCTACGTGCCACGACAGACCGGCATTCAATGCGACCGTGGTCTAGATTTTTCATAAAATATGGAAAATGAGATGACTTCAAATATCTGTTCATATTACTTTTCCATCCTTCGGTTCTAATAATCTTAAGACGAATTTTTCATAGAGCATAAAGGAATATAATAAAGAGTACGTTTTTGTTTAGATTATGTTTTTTCATGGACAAATATTTAAAGAAATCTGGCAAGGGATGCTGCCATTTAACATGGCCCTTTAAAAAATCACGGCATAAAACCAWMGTTTTCATTGACTGMCCGGTTAGCTCAGTCGGTAGAGCATCAGACTTTTAATCTGAGGGTCGTGGGTTCAAGTCCCACATCGGGCGTTGAATTTCTTTTTTGACATTTAAAATGATATAAAAAGATGTTTTGTTATGTATGTGCTATTGAATCATCCTAAAAATTTAACTAAGCTTAAAAGCGAAGTAACACATTTTAGTTCAAAAAAGAATGATATAACACCTACTGTATCTCCTTTCTTGCCAGGAAGACCAGCGACACCACTTGGTCCAGAAGTTCCCTGGAAATATTAGGAACATAACATGAATAAGTCAGACAAATTATAAACTTGGAAACTTGATCCTTCGTAGTTTTCAAAACGCATTTGCCATCTTTATACTTTTATCAATACCATGATGCTCTTCGCCAAAACAAGTATGACGTCATTGAGAAAGGGGATCATTGCAAACACTGTACTGACCTGAAGGCCGTCTTCACCAGGAGACCCATCGTCACCGTTTTTACCCTAAAAGAAAATAATTCAAACAGAGCAATCATTACAGTTTACTTGCATCTGTATTATATAACGAATATTATTGAACTGCACTTACGATTAGCCCAGGATATCCCATACGCCCTTCCGAGCCCTGTCGACCACGAGTACCCTATAAACAAAAACATTGTTTGAAGCTGATTGATGCAATGAATGTACAATTGCAGACAAATTTAATCTGAAGATGGTTTCATGTGCCATGTTTATTTGTTTTATTTTTTGTTGATGGTGTTTTTTCTGTACTTACTCTTTCCCCATTGTCTCCAGTGACGCCATCAGGACCTGTATCACCCTGGCAACCGAATCATAGNCAATAATGGCTTTGGTCTTATTTTTCTGTTTGTTGCTTTACCGTTATTCCTCGTTTGCCAACATCTCCCATTGGTCCAGGTTCGCCTGGTTTGCCCTGCAAGAATGATGTTTCGTGATAAGATTGAGTCATCATAATGCGTATGTTTCGATGGAAACTAGAGGTAAACTAGTGTGCTAGTATGTGTAGTTGTTATCGAGCCCTTACTTTGGGACCATCTCTACCACGCTTTCCACGATTGCCAACTGTTCCTCTGGCACCCTATGGCAGAATATGTAAAAGAAAGACAACTTATTAGTCAAGCAAATAACATAAAAGCAGCAATAAATAGTGMAATTGATCAGTTTAGCAAAAGGAAGAATAATCGAAAATGAACATWAAAAATCAGGAATGTTTCCGTAGTGTAGTGGTTATCACGTGCGCTTCACACGCGCAAGGTCCTCGGTTCGAACCCGAGCGGAAACATTATTTTTATGAGTTTCAGAAACTATTTTATTGTAGATTCGTCAAATATCTAAAACTCAACTGCAAAAATGTATATGTTTTTGTGCAAGATGTCAAAAACAACAACAAAGCGAATATTATTCTATTCATTATCTATTATTCTCTGTGTGGTTTAAAGTGCCACGACAGACCGGCATTAAATGCGACCGTTGTCTAGATTTTTCATAAAATATGGAAAATGAGATGACTTCAAATATCTGTTCATATTACTTTTCCATCCTTCGGTTCTAATAATCTTAAGACGAATTTTTCATAGAGCATAAAGGAATATAATAAAGAGTACGTTTTTGTTTAGATTATGTTTTTTCATGGACAAATATTTAAAGAAATCTGGCAAGGGATGCTGCCATTTAACATGGCCCTTTAAAAAATCACGGCATAAAACCATAGTTTTCATTGACTGCCCGGTTAGCTCAGTCGGTAGAGCATCAGACTTTTAATCTGAGGGTCGTGGGTTCAAGTCCCACATCGGGTGTTGAATTTCTTTTTGGACATTTAAAAATATATAAAAAGACGTCTTGTAATGTATGTGCTATTGAATCATCCTAAAAATTTAACTAAGCTTAAAAGCGAAGTAACACATTTTAGTGCAAAAAAAATGATATAACACCTACTGTATCTCCTTTCTTGCCAGGAAGACCAGCGACACCACTTGGTCCAGAAGTTCCCTGGAAATATTAGGAACATAACATGAATAAGTCAGACAAATTATAAACTTGGAAACTTGATCCTTCGTAGTTTTCAAAACGCATTTGCCATCTTTATACTTTTATCAATACCATGATGCTCTTCGCCAAAACAAGTATGACGTCATTGAGAAAGGGGAGCATTGCAAACTCTGTACTGACCTGAAGGCCGTCTTCACCAGGAGACCCATCGTCACCGTTTTTACCCTAAAAGAAAATAATTCAAGCAGAGCAATCATTACAGTTTATCTGTATTATTAACGAATAATATTGAACTGCACTTACGATTAGCCCAGGATATCCCATACGCCCTTCCGAGCCCTGTCGACCACGAGTACCCTATAAACAAAAACATTGTTTGAAGCTGATTGATGCAATGAATGTACRATTGCAGACAAATTTAATCTGAAGATGGTTTCATGTGCCATGTTTATTTGTTTTATTTTTTGTTGATGGTGTTTTTTCTGTACTTACTCTTTCCCCATTGTCTCCAGTGACGCCATCAGGACCTGTATCACCCTGGCAACCGAATCATARCATCAGAACTGACCCTTTAACACACKTTTGATAAAAATTCGGGTCGGTTCTATCCCAAACACTCACCCTATCACCCTTTCTTCCACGAGGACCTCGTAGCCCTCGTCGTCCTCGAGCCCCCTAGAATATAAACACGTTGAGATGGAAATGACGTCATGAAATTGTAGTCATGGTTACAAAAGGTCGTACCTTTTTACCTGATGGTCCATCGGTGCCATGGAGACCTTGCATACCCGACACACCCTGAAAACCAAATGATTGACATCGATCAGTCAAAAAAATGAAACACTGAAAAAGCAATATAAAGAAACAAAAAATAATACAACAAAAGTAAAACGCAATAACACCCAACATATACGTGTAGAGTGAACTGCCTTGATTCAAACAAACGGGCCTTCTGTTACAATTGTGATCGATAACTTACCCTGTCACCCGGAAGACCAATAGGACCCCCAGGCCCGATATCACCACGTGCTCCCTAATAAGATATCAAGCATGATTTAGTCATGAAACGTTGTTCCAACAAACATTGAATGTATAGTTAGTAAATTGTTGCCCAATTGAAAGTCCAAGTAATATTATCAATTTCCTACCCTCCGTCCAGGGCCTCCAGAAAGTCCYCTTTTACCCCAGCCACCTGGTCTTCCCTGTAAAGAAATGAATTTCGAAATTGATTGAATTAGAAAAGTATACTAAAGTGTGTTATAAAAATGTTGTTTCGAAGRCAYTACCGATCGTCCTTTGTTACCAACGGGACCAGCTATTCCGTTTTTTCCTCTATCACCCTAGAAGAAAAATACATACAAGAAACAACAAAATTAATTAGATTTTTACTTAGCATCTATCTGATTTAGCTTAGTTAAATATGAGAGAAAAGAGGACTACACCTACCATTTCTCCGCTGGCACCACGTGAACCTACTGAGCCATCATATCCCTAGGCACAATAAATAAAAAAAACATTGTAGTCCAAAACTCGCACACACTGCCTTATCCTATATTAGATTTCAACATTATTCCTTTTTGGCAATTGTATGAGTGATTAACTCTATAAATGAAAAGAAAACTTCCAGATATTGCAAGGAGCTGACTTACTCCTAGTGAAACTTGGCCTTCAAAGAAAAAGTCACAGGGAGCCCGCGAAAATGTACAAATAAGTGTAAAAACGTACCCGTAGTCCATTCGGTCCACTTACACCAGTAGGACCATGCCCTCCACGATCACCCTACATAAAAAAATCAAATATTTATTTGAATCCGTTTTAAAACTCGACCCCAGAAAATCGACTAGTTACTTACACGAATTCCCTTGCCACCAGGTCTTCCAGGAATTCCAGCTTTGCCAATGTTACCAGTAGCACCCTTGACACCACGACCTCCTCGATCTCCTCTCTCTCCGTGTACACCAGCATAGCCTTTCTCTCCTGATTCACCCACTTTACCCTTCGCGCCAACTACACCAGGTTTTCCTGGAGCTCCGTTATTTCCGGTTGGACCCTGAACATTAAAGAAATGTGTGATTATGTTCATTTCACGTGTGCCCTTAAGGGAAGGCGAGGACAATCTCTAAGAAAGTTTTGAGAAGCTTGTGTGAAGATAGTGTCTACACTTCCTTTGTACATTTTCGTTCGCCCATGTCCAATCATTTTTACACCAATATCTACATAATCATCAGTAATTACCTTGCCCCCTGGCCGRCCGCGTAGTCCACGATGTCCCATTGATCCCTAAAAAAAACATCAGGTGGATCAACATAGGAAAACTTACATTAAGTAGTAAACAATCCAGCTAATAATTATATTAATTCGTATTATGGAGGAAGTATCTTTTAAAAATAATGAATGTGACTTGGAAAGCAGGGGTGTATCCAGGGGAGGGTCACAGGGTGCCCGTGACCCCCCTTTCAAAGCCAAAMAAGCGAGAAAACCAYAGATTGATACGACATCGTATTGACGTCATATGACGTCACAGTGACAATTTGGTATGTAAGGACCCCAATGAAAATCCTGAATACGCCCCTGGAAAGCTATCTGAGAGTAGCCAAATGRGGATGGATTTGAATATTTAGTCTTATTTACCATTACTCCAGGTGGACCTATAGGGCCTACGTGACCTTTGCGCCCTTCAGGACCCTACACAAGAACAATTGAGCTGTCAGTCTACAGGTGAATGGTTGGGTCAATAGATGAATGTACTGATCAAGGAAGCATAMATTTATAGCGAAACTACTATACTTACAGTTTGACCACGTACTCCTTCTTCACCGGATTCTCCTTCGGTACCCTTCGTGCAAAATAAACAGAATTATCCATATGCAAAGAGGGTTTTTTTGCCTTTCATTATTCTTTCACACGAACGGCGACGATTATATCACGTAGTCCCTTATTAATTGGCTACTTTTATGAGTGGCAAATGTTTTATTTTTGCTTTATGTGAATGGAACTACTGCGTTACAAGATATTTGCCTACCTTTTCTCCTTCCACTCCGTTGTCACCTGCAGGACCAGCACGACCGCGTCTGCCTTCGTGTCCGTTTTTCCCGGGAAAAGCGTCTCGGCCAGGTTCTCCAATCATACCTTTTGGTCCAKGAAATCCTGGCTGACCTATCTTGCCTTTCTTACCACGCTCACCCTGACATAAATTTCGTACTTATTGCGTTGGTGCTATGTGCAGATTAAGGAGATCTTCAACGACTGTGCATATTCTAACCTGATATCCACGTACACCTTTGAAACCGACAGGGCCTGGATCTCCTCTGGAGCCCTGAGAAAAAAAAATCGCATGAATTGATTTCACGACGATTATAAGGATTGCGTAACCATACAGAAATATACTACCATTAAAAAAATACACAGATCATTTTTAATACATACGTGTATTCCTGGTTTTCCCTCGGGTCCAGGAAGGCCAGGAACGCCTTGTAATCCCTGAAATATAATTTTTGATAAATGGTATATCATGCATTCAGTAGTCAAGAGACAGAACACCTTGTCTGATCACATSGACTTACCATCAGTCCACGACTTCCAGGTAATCCGCGGGGTCCTTGTATATCCTACGAAGAATATGAAGGACGATTTCGAAAAGAGGAAAAGCAATAAAATGTCAAAAATTAACAAAAACAATATAGGAAAGGAAGGGAACAGGCAAAAAGAATAATAGAATTGACGCTTTGTTTTCATGTTCGTTTAGCCTTTAATAGATATAGACAATGACAGCAAAAACAGAATACAAAACGTCCACACACAGAATAACACTTACCACACGTCACAATAAAGACATCAAATCAAACTAATCCGCCAATTAACAGATCAATTCAACGAGTAGTTTTATAGTTGTTGTTGTTGTTGTTGTTGTTGTTGTTGTTGTTGTTGTTGTTGTTGTATTTGTTGTTGTCGTTCGTCGTATTTCAGTTGTCGTCGTTGCTGTTTTTTATCTTACCTCAATTGGTGCCGAATGAGCATATTGAATCGGAGGTGAAAATACTGGACCTTTTTCTCCAGGATATGTTTGAACCTACAAACACATGAATAAATGAACTCCAATTTGCGAATGATTCAAAGAACTATGAATTCAAACGACGTACATGGAAATTCAGAGGGTTTGTGTAGTCTTTAAATTAATTAATGCATTTTTGCTGTTTAAAGTACAATGATCCACCAAAATTCGGTGCGGTCTTAATTTAGATTTTTCATATATGAAAAACAAGGTGACTTCAAATATCCATTTGCAATCCGTTTGCAGTGTCTCCAAATTGCAAGGGGTGATAAAGATTACGTTTTTGGATTATATTTCGATGTGTTTTCATTTTCAAGCATAAACAAAAGCTTGAAAGGGATGCTGGTGAACCATGGCCCTTTAAACATCGCAATACACCTTTGTAAAATGGAATTGCAATGCAATTTCTGCATAACTAGATCGATGATTGTATATTACGTCTTACCCCGCCTACTGCAGCAGGTCCGGGGGGACCTGGAGGGCCTGGGAGGCCACGAGGACCACGACGTCCACGACGACCACGAGGACCCTAAGCAAAGTCGTATGATTAGTCGAGGTATTTGTAGGAATTAACTAATCGAGGTTATATTGCCAACTTACATCACGTCCTTTGATACCAGTACCGGTAGTTTCCTGAAATACAGAACATAGTGTGTTTTACCCAGTGGGCGAACAGCTAGAGCCATGTATTATGACATGAGATCGCTGTATAGTACTTACCCCTGGTGGCCCTGGTGGTCCACGAGCTCCTTTACGACCACGAAATCCTGGAGCACCGTCTGGTCCAATTACTACAAGAGCCTTAAAAATACACAACAATCACGCACTATACAATATTAATTATAATCTCAGGTTATTTAAAGAAAAGGGTGACATACGGGATTTTATTCACGAGTTGCAAACGAGGAACGAAATTCCTGTACATTAGCTCTTCTCAAACTATAATCTGTTTATTATTCC